GATGTTAATTAGGTAGCTGACATACACAAGAGAAAGGAAAAAAATCTTTGAAAAAAATTTTTCATACTGAAAAGGCACTTCATCCTAACAACAAAAGATATGTCCATAAACTGATTTCTGCAGTAAACTATATCGAAATCTAATGTGATAAAACAAGCAAAATTTTGACCGTTCAGACCAATTCCTTACTTCCATGCTGTTTCTCATCAGAAGAGTCTCCCAATTTCATTCACAAAAAGATTGTAATGAACAAAAAAGCAGTACTTCATCTACAGAGATGAGAATTTTAGGGATAATAACTGCATCTGCTTATATCAGCAAAATATTATTTATTGAAGCTGAAAGTTCACCTGCAGAACTTTAGAATGTGAAGAATCAAGATGTCTGACTGCACCATGTCAGACGCACGAATTCACAGCTTCTCAGACATGCTCTTATTTCAACATGAGTGTCACTTGCAGAAAAGCAGAAAATATGACTTTGGTAGAAGCAGTGCATTACACAGAAGCACACTTGAACCAAAGGATTCCTTCATAGAAGGCTAAAAAAATTTTACAAAGTTAGGAATTACACATTCATTTTTAAAGGAAGCTTCACTTAACAGAATTCTAATTTATGCACACCAACAGAAGTTTGACAGGCAGTACTGTTTGCACTTTGATACTTACCAAGAGACACCACATCAAACAAACACCTTACTCTTGTCCAAACAATTAAAACAAGGCATTACCACACAGCCATGAAGTTGCCCAAGGACTGATGACTTCAGAGACGTAGAATGTTTATTCCAGAGGCTTCCCACCTGCAGTCTGAAATTCATTAACCCAACTCCTGATTCCAAGTTGTTTGTAAGCCAATTTTTGTTTTCACTCAACTGAGCAGCTGACCATTTCCAAACATATTTGAGCAGCGCATTGTTACAGACTCATCTGCGGTCTAGTAATGTACAGTCAAATGAAAGAGAACTGATGCAAGTCTTGTATTTTTACACATACCACCAGAAACAAGGCAATTATGTTCATATGAAATGGATATTGTGGTATACTCTGCTAAAATATCATTTGGTCAATTTATCCAACTCAAAATGGAGATGAGTACATACTGATAAGATTTTAAAGTTTAAGAACTATTTCACTAAAGGAATCTTTAGAAGTCTGAATTACTCCCAAATTAAGACAGTTAGTAAATTCTTCTTTATCCTTTCTTCTTTTATTACAAAAATATTTCATTTAAAGAAACATATGAACACCACTGTTTTCTCCCACTACTGTTCATGTATTTCCTAGCTAACATCTAATTAAGATACCATGTTCCATCTGAGATCAGTTAAACCTCTCCTTAAAGTTCTGAAAAGGTGCCACACAATGGAAGCAGATGCCTACAACTGGAAGTGAGAGGCAGACACCATGTACTCTCAACATTTTATCCTCATTTTATGTTAGTGTACATGGATTATCCAAATATCACTCACTTTGAACGTTACCAGAAAGCTAATTTGAAGAGGGATGGGAGTGAAAAAGGAGGACAAAAATAAACACTACCTCCAAGCTATAAAAGTTTTTACCAACAAAGATGGTAAAATTGTAGAGAAATCACTATTGAAGCAATACAACAAACCCTTCTAGAATTTAAAGCTGTGTAGATTGTCACAGGAAGAGAAGTGACTGAGAACCTTCAGTAGCATGCTTGTGATGAAGGCAGACAACAGAAATATTCATGACTTTTAAAGTAAAGCAGTCCACTCTTACAAGAAAGCCCATACAACTGAAATCGGAACTGGGTTTCACGAGGATGTTGCACATCACTAAGTGTGTATCACATTACTAAGTCCATAAATGGCTTTGGTTTGAATGGAAATTGCATCTACCTGCGGCTAGGTGAGAATGTTTCCTTATCACAAAGCAGCAGGTACAACATTAACCAACAGGAAGAAACGTTTTTTGTAAATGCAATGCATCCTAACAACAGTAGCAAGCCTTGAAAAGGTTTACTTCAATAACTGTCAGAGATTCTTCCCATATGCACTTCTCAATATCCTCTGCCCTTTCACACATGGCCTCTATACACTCACATAATAAATAATATCACCAGGAACACATTGGAACAAAGCTGTGCCGTGGTTCCTGCAGCGTGGGGCTGTTCCCATCCTTTGGGAGCCCAAATCACTGATTCCCATGTTTAACTAGTGCTCAATACTAAGACAATGTTTTAAGTCTTACCAACAGAAGCCATATGAAGATAATTTCTTAATGATACTATCCAGAAGTATGTACATCTATATATTCTAAACTTTCTCTTCCCCCTATTTACTACTTCCAGAGCAAAGCAAACAACACCCACTACTCCCAAGTGCTTTTACACCACAGGAAGCTGCAATGACCTAGGAGGTAAAATCACTCCTAAAGCTATGAGAAACAAGAGACGAAGGCAGACTCTCGTGGGAGAAAAAACACCCCACAACTTAGCAGTTTTAAATCTGGTACTCGTTGGTAAAATAGGTCTGAAAAATTACTGACTTTGGCTCCAACCCCCTTCTCAGGTATTTAGCTTCAGGCTTACTTGATCCAGGTTCAATCTTGCTCTTATCACTTTACTAAACTAAATCCTATACACATCATTCCAAGGCTGAAGCTCATCAGAAGAGTATTTTGCAAAAGCAACTAGCAAAGCAAGAAATCAGCTGAACTACCTGCTTTCCTTCCGAAGCCATCTGTATGACAAATGTCTTTCACCAAGAAAAAGCCAGATATAGTCTGAGAGAACACGTTCAGATATTAATTAGGTTTGAGGAGCTCCCTTTGATCAAAAAAGGAACTTGGCGAGTAGCAACCAATATTCCAAAAGCATCAGTCAAATACAGCAAAATGCATCTCAACAGTCTCTAAATCTGCCTGCACACAGGTTACTTCTAAAGCATACAATGAAGCACAAAGCATCCAAGCTGGAACCCAACTTCTCACTAAGTTCTTTGAGGATTTTACTCAGAGCTATCTCTAGCTTAATCTTGTAAGGATGCCCATTAGCATGTGAGGGACATTAGACATGCTCCTGGACTAATCTTTCAATCTAATTTTATCAGAGAAGAGCAGCTGAAGAACTTTGAGATCACACTGCAGTGTGAAGCAAAGCATGGAAATGGATAAGACTGGATATTTGCCCGACCAGCACACTATTGACCCAAACTAAAATGCTGATGTTGACCCACACTAACACAGCCATAAAACCAAAAAACTAATAGTTGCATGTAGATTTCAAAGAATTAGATAAAAAAATTGCTCTTTCCCAGATGAAAGAGAACTTTACCTTGAAGACTATAAGCTCGCATGACACACGTGATTTCCTGAAAGGTTCACTTCTATAAAGACCTCCAAGGAGAGAAGCTCAATGCACCAGTACAGGTTGGGGGCTGACCTGCTGGAGAGCAGTGTAGGGGAAAGGGACCTGGGGGTCCTGGTAGACAGCAGGATGACCATGAGCCAGCAATGTGCCCTAGTAGCTAAGAAGGCCAATGGCATCCTGGGGTGCATTAGAAAGGGTGTGGTTAGTCGGTCAAGAGAGGTTCTCCTCCCCCTCTATTCTGCATTGGTGAGACCGCATCTGGAGTATTGTGTCCAGTTCTGGGCCCCTCAGTTCAAGAAGGACAGGGAGCTGCTGGAGAGAGTCCAGCGTAGGGCTACAAAGATGATTAGGGGAGTGGAGCATCTCCCTTATGAGGAAAGGCTGAGGGAGCTGGGTCTCTTTAGCCTAGAAAAGGAGACTAAGGGTTGACCTCATCAATGTTTACAAATATGTAAGGGGTGAGTGTCAGGAAGATGGAATTAAGCTTTTTTCAGTGTTGACCTGTGATAGGACAAGGGGTAACAGGTGCAAATTGGAGCATAGGAGCTTCAAGGTGAATATCAGGAAAATTTTTTTTACTGTGAGGGTGCCGGAGCACTGGAACAGGCTGCCCAGAGAGGTTGTGGAGTCTCCTTCACTGGAGACATTCAAAACCCACCTGGACGCCTTCCTGTGTGATGTACTCTAGGTGATCCTGCTCTGGCAGGGGGGGTGGACTAGATGGTCTTTCGAGGTCCCCTCCAACCCCTATGATTCTATGATCATTCAGCCAATACCTTAGAGAAAACTTGAAGAGTCTTGTAAATGAAAGCAGCTCTAGTCACTGACATATTACTTTCTTCTATTCAGCTATTGCAGCTCAACATTTTATAGCTTAGAATGCTACAGTTGTTACCTCTTAAGTGCACAGGGCTAAAAAAATGCCCTTGGAGATGACATTTAAACACGAACTCATTTTAACACCAGTTGGTACTACAGTAAAAATCAGCAGCACCTCCTCTGCTGCTAACACATTAGGCAGCATCATACTTGCTAGTTAAGAGTATTGAAAATAGTTTTTACTAACAGATCTCATACTCATTTAAAAAATAAAACAAGAAAAAAACTTAACTTTATTTAGCTTTATTAACAAAAAGAGTTAAAAGGTTGCTATGCCATTTAGAACATACCAGAGAATTATAAAACAGCAATGAACCCTAAGGAATGAATTAAAATCACATATACTAAGAACAGTCCCTGTCCCTGGGAGCCAGTCATGCATAGTGTTCTTCCTGCAAGTAGCACATCATCTTTCCAGGAGAAACAAAAAATGTTAAAGGCATCAGTAAATGAAGCTGCCATTTTAAACATTTCCAACTTAATGGGAAGTAATTCACAGAAAGTAATTACAGAGGAAAAGTCAGTGCTAGTATTTTTTTCTGCAATCATGCAATCAGAGCACAGATGGGAAAAAAGCACTTATATTTACACTTGCTCAGTTTTTAAAACCACATGTACATTGCCATCATTTAAAGTGCAAGCTACATGTCTGCTGAATTAACTGAAGGCATAACAGGTGAGATGCAAGTTAAAATACTACCATCAGTAGTTATACAGATAACCATGGATGCCAGTAGCATTTCAAATCCTGATCAACTTAGCATGTTACTTCCTCTTGTTTATTACCAGCCAAACACGTATTCCATTGCTTTAGATACAATACTTTCATCTTTCCTAGGAGTTTGTCTGTCAGAAACCACCTAGAAGACAGGAAGAGGAAGAGAAAAAATAGAGAATCAGTTAACATATAGTTAATTCTTTTTATACTAACCATTTTTTTTTTCCATTTCCTAAGTGCTACTAGATTTTGACATTTTTTAAATAGGTTCAAAATTAGCCCTTAACCTCTGGAAAAGTTATAATTTATTAATTTTTATTAGTTTTATTTTAGAGACTGAATAGACTGATTTGGTAATTGAACAACATTAAATAAATGATTAAAAAAAAAAAGGCTACAGTCACACTGAAGTTAATATCTGTACAGTCTTGTACCACTAAGGGGAAATAGTACAAAGAAAAACACACTTCTGTTTCCCTTAAAATACCTGATAATCACTAGTGGAAGCTTTATATGCTGTTGCAAGAGGTCTCATTGTAGAAATCCTAGTACTGTTATCTGCAGGTTGTACTGGCGTGCCGATAGATTTTGTAGGTGGAGTGAAAACTGAAGACGGTGAGGATATAGAGCTTCTTTCAAAGTTTTCCATCACACTCTTAAAAAGAGGGTTAATAGAATGTAAACAAATAATAAAAAGCTGTATATCAGCCCTTATTTTCTAGAATTATCAATTATCTAGAATCGTTTGATAAAATGTTTACATCTCAAAGTAGGCAAAGACCACAGGTACACTGCCTGTCAGTACAGAGCACACAAGTACATGCCACCACTAAGCATTTTCTTCACTGCAGTATTTTAGATGTTGGACTGTGCTACTCCAAAGTAGTAGAGGCTTGTAATTTGTTGAGCGTACATGCCACGTGTCAGCCAGGTTTGGAACAGTACAGAGAAAATACATTTGAAGCTTGTTTTGCAAGCCTTACAAGTAGTAACTTTTTTCAGGCCCAGCAGAACTAAGTAGCATATAACATCCTCTTTCTAAAGACTTCTAAAATATTCTGCCTGGTCCATATAGGACAGTCTCCAAGCCTTTACCAACCTGCAGCTTATTGCTCAGGCTCAGCTTGCCAGGGAGCTTCACTCAGCCCTCTTAGCAAATGCTAGAGAAGGAGTCTCAGGTTCCACTTTGTAAGCTTATGTTTAGAAAGGAATGCACATAGAATGCAAGAGGCAGCAAGTGACTACACTGGAACCACAAGTTCCATAAGGACCCAGAGAAAACAAGATGGGAAATGACAAGCAGCCTGGGGAGACTGAGTTTGTTGCACTTAGATTCTGCAGAGCACAGCATTCAACCAGCCCAAGGACAGCAGAAGTTCAGAAGCACATCTGGCAGGAGAGAGCTATCCAAAATACAGGATAGGACTGTGTCCAGTGTGGGTGGCAGCTGACACTTTGCTCAGCACGAGGGCAACCCACAGAACTAACTGCTACTTCAAACCAGAAGCCTAAGCACTGATGTCAAATCCATCATATCTAGTGCTTAATTGCAGGAATGGTTTTACAGGCTAATGCCAAACCCTCAGTGGATTAGTTTGCAGGGATCTCCCTTGCCTCCAAAAATACAGGTCTGTCATTATGGGCTTATTTGTTGACATCTGAAAGTCAACACTATCCACAAAAGACAACATGAGCATTCAAAGGCAGCAAAGGTCCAATAGCTGACAATAAAATGTCTTAGATCATTACTTCTAGATTTTCAGCTTATAGGCAATTCAGTCATTGATACAAACTGGACACCAAAAAAATAAATAAAGTAAGAAGAGGCTGGAAGCCCTACCACCAGAAGCCCACAAAGGAAAGGGCACTGAAGTACATTGGTTTCTGCACTTTAACCAGTATAAGAAATGTTTTGATCTGACAAAAACTGATGTAATTGCAAGCTCAATTTCTAGGGCTGCCTTCTCAGAATGGTTTACATTTGAAAACTTACTCTTTAGCATCACTTATCCTTAGAGGAGACCAAAAAAAAAAAAA